AAACAACAACGGTTTTTTAACCGTTGTCTATTAAGTATAAAAGATGATAGAAAAAATAGAAAACACTTACAGTAGAAATCTCAGCAGATGATTGTTCCTCTGTCCTAGAAGCTGCATCCTTTGATGATAACAGCTCCTTCAATTATGTAATGAAGATACAAAAATTATTAGGAAACAAATGGATCAACCAGGAAGATACAAAAATTATTAGGAAAAGAATCAGTGAAAGAAATTACCCAATGAAGATCTGTAGAAGCAGGCTCATCTATATAGACCCTAAGTTTAATTGCCTCTTCCTCTGCAGCAGAAATAATAACATCACAAAATGCTCACCTTCCTAGGCATCATGACCTCTTATCTGCTCACCTTCCAAAATATAAAAAGGCTATAAAATCAGGTATGATACAGTGATAGTTAGTACTTTCTACGATTTCAATTAGCACTTTCATATATACTTCTAAAAGATTCTAAATTCTTTAGAATCAAAATCTAGGGAATGTTTCCAAGGGATACACAAAAAAAAAAAAAAAAAACCTCCTTAATTCAACATCACAGCTTTCATCCTAAATTCATATAACAAGCTAATTATTGTAACTCTAATAATTCAGAAATTGAAATCATAATTAAAAAATAATAAAAAACTTACAGCGGGAAGGCGGTGCTCCAATGCGGCGGAGGCTGTGCTGCGGTAGCTGGGCAACGGAGGCTGTGCGATTGGGAAGAAGAAGGCGTCTGCGGCTGGGCAGTGGAGGCGTTGGCTGGCGGTGTGGGCGGAGGCTTGCTGCGATTGGGATGCAGTGCGGGGCGGTGTGGCGGTGGGCGGTGGCTGAGCGGTGTTTAGTGTGTGAAGTGGTGAGCGGTGTGCGGGGCGGTGGCTGAGCGGCTGTGCGAAAGGAATTGAAGCGGACTTTTTGAGAACAAACAGACGTCGGGGTGCGAAATGAAATATTAAAACCCCTATTTAAATTTCCGTCCAATATTACGTTGGACGGATATTAAAATACCTACTATTTTAATTTCTACTTATCAATCAATTCGACTTTACCAACCAACACTATAGGTTGGTCGGAATTTTCGTCCAACACGCGAGTGTTGGACGGAATTTCCGTTCAACACTCGCGCGTTGGACGGAAATTCCGACCAACTTTCTGTCCACCCATCTTTAGTAACAGGAAGTTGAAATCTTTAGTAAAATACCGACCAATTTACGGTTGGACGGAAATGTTGGACGGAAAACGCGAGATTTCCAGCAGTGTCCAAATATTGCATAAGACCCCTGTTTCGATTGGGACGGCCCTGTATTGAATATACATTCTTTATGTATTGAATGTACATTATTTGGTAGTAAACTAAAGGAATAAGGTTTAAATTGATCACTGAACGTAACTTGAAAATGAAATTAGGCCACTGAACGAAAAAAAAAATACAATTAGGCCACTGAACACTCCAAAAATGTGCAATTAGGTTACTAAACACTCCAAATGTATGCAATTTTACCTGATAGCAGGTTACCATCATTTTTAGCAGGTTACCTACTTACGTGGCAGCTGAGTTGACATTTTTAATAATTTTTAATAATAAATTTTTTTTAAAAAAAGGAAAAAAAATAAAATAAAAATAAAATGACGGGGTGGCTAGCAACCACACCGTCGTTTTTTTTAAGTAAATTTATTATTAAAAATTATTTAAATATTATTAAAAATGTCAACTCAGTTGCCAGTCTGCCGCGTAAGCAGGTAACCTGCTAAAATTGATGGTAACATGCTATCAGGTGAAATTGCATACATTTGGAGTGTTCAGTGACTTAATTGCACTTTTTTTTTTGTTCAGTGGTCTAATTACATTTTCTGGTTACGTTCAGTGGCCAATTTGAACATTATTCATAAACTAAATAATGTACATTCAGTACTCAAATAATGTACTATTAAAAATATATTTTCAGTGTAATAAAAATGTATCTTATGTCAGTGGTACACCTTATAAAATAGACCAAGGTTTATGGTATAGTGATTGACAACGACAACATAGATTATCGACTCTTTAGAGAAGATTACTGTTAAATTATATTTTGTTTAAATATAATTGAAAAGTTAAAATTATGAATATTTGGCATCAGTCAAAATTAACATTTATATTATTTTGAAACTAACTCTGCCACAACGTAATCTCAACAATTTGTGTACCAAATGTGATGACAAATATAATTAAAGAAATGAATTAATCATTTACTTACAATCCAACAATTAAAAGTGTCATTTTTCCCAATAAATATTAAAGTGTCACTCTCATAAGAGTGGTATCCAATCCCTTTCAATAACCATTATTGTACAAGTTAATTGCGTGCATGGCAATAACCAAATTACCCAATCATGATGCACATTGCATTGTTCTCCTTGATTTTTATTTCTTAGGCACTACCTATTATACTAATAGATTATTTTCACTCAATATAATTATATAGTTATACGTAATTGTATCATATATTATAATGAGTCCCGAAATGAGTGGTTAAGTGAGTGAAGTAAGAATCTCATACTTGTACGATTATGAGTTCAATTCTTGTCAACACTCTCTTGGTTGAGTCTGTCATATGTGATCTTTCTACCGCAGTTTATATGTCTCATGTGTGGTCTTAAGTAGTGGATTCAAGTATTTATTCTAGCCGTACTAGCATCGTAGGGTGCAAAGTTCGATTCCTATATATCGAAAGAAGAGTATAGAATTGCTCTGAGCAGGCAAAGCTTATGTGGAGGAGAGGGAAGAAAAATGGTGCCCCTGTAAAGCAGTGGTTTTTATCAGAATTATGGAACCGACCAAGGAAAATAGCTTTTCTCGTTGCAATCGCGTGAAGCGCAACACAACGCCTAGTTGCACTGCACGTGCCCGTTGGGCGCATTAATGAAGTTTTTTTTTTCACTTTTATCTTCCCTCACATCTTTTCTTTTATAGTCACATCTGTACAATTTTTTCAAAATGTATAACTGTTGGAGATGCTCTAACTGATTTTTTTCACCAAGTTTTTAAGACAAAAACATGGGGCCGCAATCCTAATTATTTACTTTTTACCTATATATCCACGGTACTATAATCATTATATTGTCTCCCACCAAAAAAAAATAAAAAAAATAGTCATTATATTGTCAATAATAATTCCTAAGTCAGTATCACGGAATAAGTCCACAAAGTCATCGTCAAAGTGCATTATTCCATATATCTTAGCCGGCAATATTAATAAACAAATTAAAATCAACCAATATATTCTACAAAGAAAAATAATAATAATTAATTAATTAAAAAAATAGCTTACTGGGTGACGGAAAATATGCAAAGGACACTGGATGAATCAATCCACGGGGCAATAATAATGATTTATTTTAAAAATAACATATAAATATAAATATAAATAAATATAAAAGTCCTTTTAAGAATTAATTAAGAAAATGCGATCGTTGTGTGCGTATCGTTAATTAATACGGAGTATGTTTTTTAAAATCTTATTATGTCTGCCATAATTGACTTCTAGCTACAACCTGCAAAAAGACATTTATGACCAATTTTTTTACAATATCTTTAGAATGCGGTGTACATTTCTTGTTCACAAATGTATGTTCTCAAATAGTGATTGAATGGTTGCGAGTTTCTTTCATCACTAAAAAAAAAATAAAAAAAATTTGTGGTGTTATGTCCAAAAACATTATTTTATAGGTTAAAACATTCTTCCAAAAGGCTAAAACCCCAATCCTAAGAGCCCCCACACCCACACCCCGACCCGACAGAGTATTTGGGAGGATGTAAATCATGGTGACTCAACTGAACATGAACCATAAAGGCTAGACCGGTGCTCACTGCGCACAAAGAGCTCCCCTCACTTTGAGAGGTTGCTCCCACACTGCCGCTGGTGAGACTCGATCCCTGGTCATTCTTCCAAAATTTCACCTCTATGACAAGTTGAGCTACCCATGCGGGCTTTATAGGTTAAAACATGATAGTTTAACTGGATGTCTCAAATTTGACTCATGAAAATGTAGTTTGAATGGTTGATAAAATATGTGATAAAAAAAAAGTGATATTTTTTGTATATAATAATCCGAGAGAATGAGTGAAACCTAAGTTAAGCTATTAAAAAAGAATTAAAATCATCATAGAAAGTCCAAAACATGGGTTTAAGTACGTAGAGTATAACATTGGTTACATTGGTTATAATACAGTTAAGTTAGTCAACTAATAATGTAGAAGATAATGAGGTTAAGGCAGTAAATACAAGATTGGCTCTAAATTGCCGTCATTATCTATTGATTTTGATTTGTTTTAATAATTTCTTCTTTAACTATGGATCACTCACTAATTAAGCATATATACAAAAAAACAATAATAACAATATAATGTCTGCACACATTTCAGACTTTACATCTTTCATCAATTTCTAAGATGAGAACGGTGAGGAACTATTGAATTTGATGTTCAAATTTATCAATAATTATATGAAATTTATTGTTCAACATAAAATTAAAAGTCTTCAAGATTGATATATCGTTTGGTCAAACAAATTTGTACTTAATAATTAGGGTTATAGCCTTATAGGACAGTACCCCTATCTGAAAATTAACTTTCTAAAAGACTAACTCGAATCTAATTAGTTAGTATATTGAAATATCAATCAACTCAGTTAAATTTGGAAGAACCTATATGGATTATATAAATAAGTTTAGTTTTATCAAGTATTTAATTAAGAAGTGACACGATTTCAACATGACGCAATAAACAACTTGGATTCTATATAAATAGCTTCAGTTTAATTTATAAGTATATATTTAATTATAATTATAATTATAATTATGATAATGTTTCAACCAAACAACTCTAGAGTCTTGGTCAACCGCCCATACTCTTATCTTGTAATTAATTGCAACATCATGGGCATTAATGATAGACTCTACTACACACTATATATATATATACACACACACATATATATATATATACACACTTTAATTTCACCCATCCATTATCAAAATTCGAAACCCAAAAGTTCCATTAAGTGGCAAGCAAGCAAAGCTAGTATTCTCAAGTCAAGAAACCCAAAAAATGGTTCCCTTATCGCCACCGCTTTCCACGGCGGAGCACGGCGGAGAAGCTGAGTTCTTCGCCTTGCACGGGGATATAATCGAATCCCATATCTTGACTCGTCTGGATGGCCCCACACTCGCCTCAACGAGCGCTGTTTCTTCCGCTCTTCGCCGCTTTTGCTCGGAGGCTCAGCTGTGGACTGACATCTGCCGCTCAGCTTGGCCGTCCACCGCCGCTGATCCCCGTGTTCGCGCCGTCGTCTCCGGTTTCCCCAACGGCGGCCCCCGGGCGTTTTTCGCCCACTCCTTCGCGATTCCGGATTCGGGGCGTTCGCGTTCCTACTCGAAGCCCTCCATGCCGGCGCCGGAGGAGTTGATATCCGCCGTCGACGTGCGCTACAAAGGCAGGCTGATATTCACCAAGGCCCAGGAGACGGAAACCGTCACCGCCTGGTTCCGGTGTTCGCCGTTCAGGATTGACCTGCTCGACCCAAAGGACGTCGTCCCCACGCCCATCAGCCACCCCGACGGAGACGGCGCGTGCGCCGCTTTCTCCGACGACATGACGCTAAGCTGGATACTGATCGACCCGAACGGCCGCCGCGCCGTAAACCTGTCATCCCATAAACCCGTTTCCGTCCACCGACACTGGCTGAGCGGCGAAGTTCAGGCGAAATTTGCGTCAATTCTGGCCGTCGATCATCGCCGGAGTCACGTGCAGTGCGCGATCGTGGTCACGTGCGGTGCGTCGGAGGGCGGTGAGATGCAAGTGAGAGAAGTGAGCATGCAGATGGAGGACATGGAGGGAACTCACCTAAACGGAAAGGACAGTTTGGTAATTCTGCAACGGGCATTGGAGGGCAAAAAGGGAAATGGAAGTAGAAGGGTAGAAGAGGGAAAAAGGAGATACGCAGAGTTTTTGGAAATGAAGAGAGAAAAGCAAGAGAGAAAATTGAGGATAGAAGGGGTATTGGATATTTTGTGCGTGGCATTTGGGGTATCTGCTTTTCTTGTATTTTCTTACTTCCTTTTATGCTAGACTAGTATTTGCACTTGTGCGATGCACGGAGTGGATTTGTTGTAATATATTAAGAATATATGAATCGATATATAATTATTTAAATTAGAACATCAAATATTATATAAGAATTATATAATGCAATTAAAGATATGATTTGAATCGTTTATATATTTTGATGTTATTATTGCTTGAATTTGTGCAAATAATTGCTCAAATTAATAGCTAATGTCTAGATGTACGGATGCGGCCCTATAATTTTGAAGATTTTATTTGTCATTGTTTAGTATTTTCATACATTAGACAAATGTGCTCGTTCTCTAACAACTCAGTTATAGAAATGAATTGCGTGTTATCCTTATTCATTTGTATGGAAGATATATTTTTTTGTCTAGATATATAACAATTTTTTCATTTAAAAAAAATTATATCACCGATTATATTTACACATTATTGAAACCTTTTTGTAGACAACATTGGTAGTGACAACACAATCTTGTTCATCTTCGTCTAGAGCTAACATCTTCTCCATCATGAAGGGTTACTTGGGTGAAAATATATAATGGTAGAATACCACTAAATTAGTTATCCTTTTATATTTTCAGTCAATTCGCAATATCAGATTCATTTTCAGCCAATTATTCTTTTTTTATTTTCAGTCAATTAGAATATCAAATGTAGTGATATTTTTACCTAACTTTCGTTCCATTTTTAATTGAAGATGTAGATATTATTATTGAAATATTTCCGTTCCTTTTTTAATTTACCTTTACTATTGTTTAAAATATGCATTTACTATTGATAATGTAGAATATTATTATTGGAATATTTTCCTCCAATTTTTAATTTCCATTCTATTTTTAATTAAAATGCAATGATCTTACCATTTTTTAGTCAATTATAGATCATTTTTTATTTGCAGTCAATTATTAATATTCATTTCCTTTTATATTTTCAGTCAATTAGTAATATTAGATTCATTTTCAGTCAATTATTCTTTTTTATTTCCAATCAATTAGTCAATTAGAATATAGATGCAATGATATTTTTACCTAATTTTCGTTCCATTTTAATTTGATGATGTAGAATATTATTAATGAAATATTTTCGTTCCATTTTTAATTTATCTTTACTATTTTTTAAAATATGTCTTTACTATTTGATGATGTAACATATTATTATTGAAATATTTCCTTTTCATTTTTAATTTTCCTTTACTTCTAACCAAAAAAAAAAAAAAAAAAAAAAAAAAAAAGGAGAAGAAGAGACTTTGGACTTCTCAATACTTGCCCACATTGATTTTTTTATTTTTTTTTTGGTAAACCCAGCCGTCAATCCCAAATCCAAGGATCGAACCCTTGACCTTTGGTTAAGGATAAATGAGTCCCTTACACTCAACCACACCCTCCAAGTTACTTGCCTACATTGATGAGCAAGAAATTATGTTTGAAAGGGGAGCATTGCTCCTCTATCCAAACATTTTCAATGTGAGATCAAAATGATCCCACATCATTTACAAAGGGAGCCCGTGACTCCCTTTTGTCTTCTTCTAATTTTTTTTTAAATTTTAATTTTATTTTGTATATCATTTTGTTTGATTATTATTATTATTATTATTATTATTATTATTATTATTATTATTATTATTATTATTATTATTATTATTTGATTATTGACAAATTCGTCATTTTAACAATTTATCTTTAATCAAAACACCAAAAATATTATTTAATAACTAAGTAATTTGCTCCAAACTGCTAAAAACTAAAACAACACATACATTTTGGGTTAATCTTTCCTAACCCCCAATAATAAATAATAAATAATAAATAATAAATAATAAATAATAAATAAATAAAATTAAAATAAGAAGACAAAACTAAGGTTTCTTAAATAAGAAACTTTTAACTTCTCAATATTCTCCACATCGATGGGCAAACAATTATGTTTGTAGTTTGTACCTCTTAATATAGAGGAGCTCAAGAGCTCAGCTTTTCAAACATTTTCAATTTGGGATGAAAATGAGCTCACATCATTTACAAAGGGAGCCTGTGGCTCCCCTTTGTCTTTTTTTTTTTTTTTTTTTTTTTTTTGTTAATTTTAATTTTATTTTGTATATAGTTTTGTTCGGATTATTATTATTATTATTATTATTATTATTATTATTATTATTATTGTTGTTGTTGTTGTTGTTGTTGTTGTTGTTGTTGTTGTTGTTGTTGTAATTTGATTATTTGGCAAATTCACAAAAATTTTAAGAAATTCGTCTGTTTAATATTTTAAATTTAATCAAAAAATCAAAATATTATTTAATAACTTAGCAATTTGCTTCAAATTGCTAAAAACTAAAACAACACGTACATTTTGGGTTAATCTTTCCAAACCCCCACTACTAATAAATAAATAAATAAATAAATAATAATAAATAATAAATTAATAAATTAATAAAAACTAAAATAAGAAGACAACGCTAAAACTTCTTAAATAAGAACCTTTTGACTTGTCAATACTTGCCGACATTGATGTGCAAGTAATTATGTTTGTAAGAGGAGTTTTGCTCCTCTTATATAGATGAGCTTTCTCTTTTCAAATATTTTCAAAGTGTGATCAAAATAATCTCACATCATTTGCAAAAGGAGTCTGTGACTCCTCTTTTTTTTTTTTCTTTCTAATTTTAATTTTAATTTTAATTTTATTTTGTATATAGTTTTGTTTGGATTATTATTATTATTATTATTATTATTATTATTATTATTATTATTATTATTATTATTATTGTTGTTGTTGTTGTTGTTGTTGTTGTTGTTGTTGTTGTTGTTATTGTTGTTGTTGTTGTTATTGTAATTTGATTATTTGAAAAATTCTCCAAAATTTTAAAAAATTCGATTATTTAACATTTTATATTTAACATTTTAAAAAACATAAAAAATATTATTTAATAACTTAGCAATTTGCTCTAAACTGCTAAAAACTAAAACAACAAATATACATTTTGAGTTAATCTTAGTCAAACCCCCTAATAAATTAAAAAAAAAAAAAAAAAAACTAAAATAAGAAGCCATTAAAATAAGGTTTCTTAAATAAGAGCATTTTGAAACGTTGGGCTTCAATAGGTTGAGAAAGTCTATATAAACAGATACTACATGTAACACGGTGAATCGAATAGTTATGATGTGGAACCGTGTCCACTTTGCAAGGTGGACACAGTTCTATGTTCATAATTACTGAACTATATGTTCATAATTATAAAGCTAAATATTCAGAATCTTTGAATTTCATATTCATAATTATTGAACTCTATATTCACAACTACAAAACTCTATGTTCATAATTACTAAACTATATGTTCATAATTATAAAGTTATATATTCATAATTTTTAAACTTCATATTCACAATTATTGAATCTCTATATTTATAATTACATAACTATATGTTCATAATTATGTTCACAACATTATGTTCATAATTTTGGAACTATATATTCATAATTTTAGAACTATATATTCATAATTATGATCAATTTTAGAACCATGTCTACCTTGCTAGGTGGACATAATTCCACAGCATAATTTGACGTGTCAATAGTACTCAAAAAATAAAATATTTGCCTGTGGACTTCTCAATACTTGTCCACATTAATGGACAAACAATTATATTTGTAATAAGAGCATTGCTCCTCTTATATAAAGGAGCTCAATAGCTCCTTTTCCAAACATTTTCAATGTGAGATCAAAATGATCCAACATCATTTACAAAGGGGAGCTCGTGGCTCCTTTTTGTCTTCTTCTTATTTTTTTTTTTAATTTTAATTTTATTTTGTATATCGTTTTGTTTGGATGATGATGGTGATGATGATGATGATTATTATTATTATTATTATTATTATTATTATTATTATTATTATTATTATTATTATTATTATTATATTGTTGTTGTTGTTGTAATAAATGTTTGTATATCGTTTTGTTTGGATATATATATTCATAATTTTTGAATTTCATATTCACAATTATTGAATCTCTATATTCATAATTACATAACTATATGTTTATAATTATGTTCACAACACTATGTTTATAATTATAGAACTATATATTTATAATTATGAACAATTTTTGAACTGTGTCTACTTTGCAAGGTGGACACAGTGCCACAACATAATTTGTCGGGTCAATAGTACCAAAAAAAAAAGTCTTTGGACTTCTCAACACTTGTCCACATTGATGGGCAAATAATTATATATTTGTAAGAGGAGCAATGATCCTCTTATATAGAGGAGCTCAAGAGCTCCTCTTTCCAAATATTTTCAATGTGGGATCAGAATTATCCCACGTCATTTATAAAGGGGAGCCATCTTTGTCTTCCTTTTTTTTTTTTTTTTTTTTTTTTACTTTTACTTTTAATTTTAATTTGTATATAGTTTTGTTTGGATTATTATTATTATTATTATTATTATTATTATTATTATTATTATTATTATTATTATTTACGAATTAATAGATTTTATTTAATTTCCATTTGAGATTTACTTACCAAATAAGCTTTACTACAAAATTTTGGGCGGGAAAATGAATTAGGATGTTTTTTGTTTTTAATTATATATAGATAGATTGATTCTGTTTCATTTTTAAGCAAAATCTTCCTTAAGATTAATAGTAAAATAAAGCTAACTTACTAATAACCGATTCTATTACATTTTTTTTTACGCAGAATTTTTCTTAAAGATTAATAGTAAAATAAGGCTAAATTATTAATAACCAATTCTATTCTATTTTTTATACAAAATCTTTCCTAAAAGATTAATAGTAAATATCTTAATGATTCTTTTTCTTATACTGCTTATTGATTCTTTTCCATTTTTCAGAGTCTATAAAAAATTCACATGGCTAACATTTCCTTCCATTCATTTCCATTTTTCCATATTATTATTAATTGTTTAGGCGGGAACTTGTAAAGGAGGATATTGTTTTTATTAATTAATATAGAATATAGATTACCAATTAAAATTAAAGTTTTTATTATAATTGAACAGTAATATTACCAATTATTATTTGAAGATTTTGTAAAACAAT